ACCCTTCTTCAGAATTTCTGAAGAAGGGTCTAGGCCTGAAACGTCAGGTTTCCTGCTCCTCTGATGCTGCTTGGCCTGCTGTGTTCATCCAGCTCTACACTTTGTTATCACAGGTTATTGATGGTTAGCCTCGATCGTATTGAACGACGAAGCAGGCTCGAAGGGCCGAATCACCTGCTTTCTGCTATTTTGAATAGGAACAGGAGGAGGCTGTTCGGCCCCTCGAGCCTACTCCGCCATTCAGTAAGATCATGGCTGCTCCTATTGTGGTCTCAATTCCACATTCCTGATCCCTCCCCACACATACAACTCTCCCCATAACTACACACTTCCTTGTCAATTCAGAATCGGTCTGATTCACCATTGAATATATTCGACGACTGCTGTCTGCAGGGGAAGAGAATTCCTCAGCGTAACCACTGTCTCAGAGAAGAAATGCTTCCTCATCTGGATAATTCACCCTGTGCTGTGATGTGTTTGCTATCCAAGATCTCATTTTCCCTCTCTGCAAGTCTGTTAAAAGAAACAGATCAGTCTTGAGACAATGCCAATTTTTTAAAAAGCCAATCATTTTACCTTCTAATTAGTTAGACAAGAGAATTAATGGCATGTACAGGCAAGCAGAACAACAAATTACACATGGAAAATACCTTGTCATTTCCAGGGCTAAATGAAAATTTTGTCAACAAATTGCCCAGAACACACAATGATTGCCTAAAAACAAAACTGAGCTTTCAACCTAAGTCATCGCAACCATAATTTGCTACAATGTGTGGAGTTCATCAGAACTTAGCAATTCATGAATGTTTTGAAAGCCAGCATATCAGAATTTGAATTAAATCACTTAGTTTTTTAAAAAATATTTCATGAATTATGGGTTGCAACAGGCAAGGCATACAATTGTTGTAGATCCCCGGTGTCCTAGAATTGAATGGCTTGTCCGGCCATTTCAAAGGACAGTTAAGAACCAACTACAAAGCCAATGATCTGGGTGTCATGTGTAGGCCAGACTAGATAAGAATAGTAAATTTCCTTCCCCTACAAGGACATTAGGAACATAAAGTGAACTAGGTGGGGTCTTATAATCAATCAATGATGGTAAGCACAGTCACCATTAGTGAAATGAACTTTAAATGCATTAATAAAGTTGGAAAATAAATAATACCTACGACAAGCTGCGATGTGAACTCATGTTAGCATTATTTGGGGCCTGTTAGTCCGATGACGTTACCAACCACGCTACTACCTTTCCATTGTACTACTATTTTAAAGTAAAGGTTGACGGGTTTTTGAGAACATGAGCATGTTCATCCATATTTCCGTTAAAAGCTGCTGTATTAAATTTGAAATTTTAATCATCTATTCCCTTGCTGACCCCAAATTTCAAATGTTTCCATCCCCATTCTAGACAATTCAAGAAGCAATCTGAGTAAGAAAGCAATAATCATGTTGCTCAAATGTCAGCTCCATGAGCAAGTACATGTCCAAAATATGTCCTAATCTGACACCATGGCGCTATAGTAAATTCAATTCAAAATAAACAGCATACAGACCAAGCTTCTAAACCACATTTTTTCATGGACTATTTACAAAGGCAATAAATGGTCAAAGAGAATTGGAGATGTCAACCCATTCCATTGCTATTAACCTCTCCCATCAATTTCTTTGGATAATTTTGTAAACTTATTTTAATTTTTTTTAATAAAGACAAAAATGTACAATACATAATGAATGTCTTTTAATATACTTGTTTTCCCACTGTTTGAATCTCCCCTCATTACATATCCAACTCATGTGAAGTTACTGCAAGTTCCTTCCTGCTTTTCTTCATTGTCTGAACACCAGATATTGAAGTGAACTTTCTTTAACTTATATTTAACTGTTCCAAAAGTGTAATCATAGAAAAATTAAGAAAACTTGCAAAACTGTTACTCTTGAGTACAGTCAGATGTGCCAAGGATTCTGTCACAGGTGAATTACCATTTTGCTAGTCTTCCCAAATCAACACTCAACTCCTTTAGCATTCAACGCAGTATAATCAAGAGCAGGAACATTACAAAGTACAGTCTCATCAAATGTGTATGCATACACAGATGAATGCCAAGAGAATTTATCAGAAAATGATCCACAACAGAAACTTTGCCCAAATCTTTTTCACTCTGGTGATGAGTGCCTGGAACGGGCTGCCAGAGGAGGTGGTGGAAACAGACACAATAGCAACATTCAAGAAACACCTGGTTCAATACATGAATAGGAAACGAATAGAGGTTTATGGATCCTGTAAGTGAAGACAGTTTTCGTATGGAAGGGCAAAATATGGCAGTCCAGGCTTGGAGGGCTGTTTTTGTTCTTTGTTCTGGTTGCTTATTTTGCCTGATGTAATTTTGGTCCATTATTTAATGCTACCAATAGTTGATTAATTCTTTCAGAATTTTAATAGAGTTTACATTTTGCCTGCTCGTAACTGCACTTTCTAATTTAAGAACGTAAGTACATCCTAAGATGATGAAAAGCAGTGAATATATAGAAGGGATGATGGTGCTGTAATTGTAATGTCACTGAACCAGTTTTCTGGAGGCCCAGACTAATTGCTTTGTGAATATGGGTTCAAATCCAAACGTAGCCATTGGTGGAATTTAAATTCAGTGAATAACTATGGAATATTAAGCTAGTCTTGACAATGGTGACCACGACAACTGTCATCGATTGTTGTAAAATCCAATCTGGTTCACGAATGATTTCAGGGAAGGAAATATGCTGCCTGTATCTAGTCTGTCCTACATGTGACTCCATACCCACAGTGATGGGATTGATGTTTAACTGCCCTCTGAAATGGCCTAGAAAACCACGTGGTTCAAGGGTCAGTTAGGGATGGGCAATACATGCTGAGCTTATGAGCAACACCCACATTCTATGAGCAAATAACGAGAAACAAATAGGCAAAAATCACTCTCTTTCTCTTTCTCCATCCTTCCACTACCTCATTCCCTTTAGGTTTTCATTTTGTTATTTTACATTACCCCTTTTCCTTTCCATCATTCCATTCCTTTCTGTTTCTTTTGCCTTTCTGTCATCTCTGTCTCTCTCTCTCCGTCTTTTTTTTAAATCAGTTTTTCTACTTCCCTACTCTCTACCTAATGATGGGGAACTGTGTGGTGTGGAACCAGTCTCTGTGTTTCGCTACTGAGAAGTTAAGTTCAGAACCTGTGCACTGTCAAATGTGTATCATTGGTTCATTTTCAACTGATGAGCATCAGTGAATACAGGAACAGAACCAAGCAGCGAGCGAAGACACAAATCAATAAGGTGAACTGTTACACACTGAATGACACTGCGTTTTATTTAACCACCTCCAAAGTGTCTAAATATTGAACCATCAGTTTCCGATACACAGTTCGCTTTATTGAGCCACATCCTCCAGCAGTATTCACTAATGCATAGGGGAGTGGTGGTCGTATAAAGACCCAGGCTAATGCACCCTTGAGATAGGGGATTCAAAATCCCGTCTGAGCAGCTAATGATTGTTTTTATTAATTTTACAGGAGGTGGGCATCGCTGGCTAGGCTAGCATTTATTGCCCATCCTTAGCTATCCAGAGAGCAGTTAAAAGTCAACCACATTGCTGGAAGCCAGTCTGGATAAGAATCATAGATTTCTTTCCTTTAAGGGTGTTAGTGAACCAGATGGCTTTTTGTGACAATCATGTTAAACTAGCCATTTATTCCGGAATTTCATTGAATATAAATTTCATCTGCCATCGTAGGATTGGAATCCCGTCCTCTGATCATTAACCTGGTTTCTGGATTACTAGTCCCAGTGATATCATCACGTTACCAGTGCCTCTCCAATAATGCTGGAACTCAAAACTAGTCACATCAATGGTTGATTAGTGTACAAATGCATCTGGTTCACTCGTTTCCTTTAGGCAAGGAAATCTGCTATCCTTACCCGGTCTGGTCTACATGCGACTTCAGACCCACAGCAATGTGGTTGACTCTTAGCTGCCCTCTGAAATGGCCCAGCAAGCCAATCAGTTCATGGGAAATAAATTCTGGCCTTGCCCATGCTTCGTTGAAAAGTTTGTAAAATCCTTGATTCTCCCCTTTCTTGAGAAAGCGTCGTAAGCCATCTGGAATTGCAGTCATGGTTTATTGTTTCTGCTATTAGGGAGATCGAGGACTAATCGGACCACCTGGTGTGCCAGGATCAGTCGTAAGTATTGTCCCACTCTTATCTTTCTTTTGATCGGTGAACAGTCAATGGCTATTGTTCCAAAGAGCAGCAAGAACAAAATGGGTAGGAATTGGATATAAATACTCTGAGTATAAGAATAGCTCAGGGGGCTGGGAATTGTGTGGCATGTAACTCACCTTTTGGCTCCCAGAGCTTTTACTGTCAAAGAGGCACAACTCATGAGTGTAATGGAATACTCCCCACTTGCCTACGTGAGTGCAGCTCCCTCTCCAACACTCAAGAAGCTCCACATCTACCATCCAGAAGGACAAGGGCAGCAGGTACATGGGAACACCACCATCTCCAAGTTCGCCTCCAAGCCACTCGCCATCCTGACTTGGAAATATATCACCATTCCTTCACTGTCACTGGGTCAAAATCCTGGAATTCCCTCCCTAAGAGCATTGTGGGTGTGTCTGCGGAAGGCAGCGGCTCAGGAAGGCAGCTTACCATCACCTTCACCAGGGCAATTAGGGATGGGTAATAAATGCTGGGCTTGACAGGATGTGACAATTTTTTTAGACATGTGGAGTGTCATAGCAAGTCGGTGTTCAAGTGATTCCAAATCGCAGGGGTTGGTGTTCCAACGTATGTGCTGTCCTTGCCTTTGAGACGGAACTGATTGTGAGTTTGGAAGGTGCTCTCGAAGAAGCCTTGGTAAATTTCCACTTTGCTGGGGGTGGGATAAAGGCTGTCATTCTCTCCACTGGGGAGACTTCCTGGTGAGCATGTTTATTTTCATCGACTAAGAGTCTGCACAGAGCACACTTCAGGAAATTCTCTCTGAGGAGGAGCCATCAAAGTTCGGCCCAGTTGGAGTGAGAGTCTTTCCTCTAGGCCAGGCATTTTCAGAAGCCTTGGCGGTCTCCACACAGACTGCAGGCAATTTTCCAGTGTCCTGCATGTGTAGCAAATATGCATGTTTTTATTTCCAAGAAACTGCCCCACAAATTGTGGGATTTACAAGAATACTGTTGAGCGTTGGCAACCCCATTCATTCCTGGGTAACTATTCAACTTGCAATGACTTACATTTGAATACCAGACCAAGCCCTCCTCATCTGCTCCCCCAATACCAACCTCCCTCCCTCCCAAACTTGCACAGGCATCAGGCTCCCTCTCTCCACATTCAATCACAACCTTCCCAACACCCAACTTTTGTCCTGCCTGAGCTGACCACTCCTCCCAAAACTTGACCCACCCTTCCCTCTCACTCACTGACCTGCCCCTTCACACAAAAGGCACCCAATACCTGCCATTGTGTGCCCTCACCCACCGACCTATCACACGCACATTCTGTCAGTAACGGTCAAATGGCTTTGGGATCTCAAAACAGTTTACCAACTGAAATATGCCATATTCCAATAAAAAGAGGGCTTAGCTCCTGCAAAGATTCACTCCAATGCAGCCTTGCATGGTTTGCTGCATCAATTAAGATGGGTCCAGCATTGGAATTGGGCATTTTTCATTCTGAACATTGGCAAGAAGGTATTTTTTATGTCTTACGTGGAAGATTTAGGCTATTTTCATCTGTGCTGTTCTCTCTAAACTATTAAAGTCAGGAATGTTTGCTGAAGAAATATTTTGTGCAGTAATTCTAACATTTTATTTCCTTTATTAGGGGTTGCCAGGTCCTAGTGGTCCCAGAGGTGAAAAGGTGAGACTGTCCTTCCTAAGGATAGGAGACCATTCGGCCCATTGACTTTTCACTGATGCTGAGATCCACTTCACACTCAAACACATCCAATTCATGTCAACCCTTCTTCCTCTGGTGCACTCAACCTTCAATGTTTCTTGAAGAAAACAATCTTCCAGTGGTTTTTGTTCAAGAATGAGTCAACCTTTATTGTCTGCGTCTACTTAATCTCTCTCCCTGTAAACTCTCAGAAATGGAGCTGTTTCAGGGCTTGACTGTGGAGACAGCGCCACCTCAAGCTAGATTGTGAACTGTGGGTGGAGAAGCTGCTGACTCAAGGGAGGGTAGCTCATTCCACCTGTAGTGACCTGTGATGCAGTTTCTGGTCGAAGGCATGTTTCCCTGGAAAAGCTGGCTCCTTCATCCTACTCAAACACAAAATAGGTTTCACTGACATGGTCACTCAAGCTGAAGCAGGGTGGTAAACCCTGCAATTAATGCATCACTGTCTTGATTCATGAGATACTGTTCCCCTAGATACTGTATGTTAGCTGTGACTCAGCATGTAGCACTGTCACCACTGAAACAAAATGTTGTTGGTGCATTCCAGTCCTACTGAAGAAGCAGAGCTCAACACCTGGACTGTTGCATTGGTGGACAATTTTGGGAGTGCTGCATTGTAAATGGCACTCTCTTTTGGATAGGACTTTAAACCAAAGCCCTTCAGTCAGATATAAGAACCTTGTATTGCTGTTCAGGACTCCTGACTAATATTTATCGCTCAGCCAACACCAACAGGCAGGTTAATAGATCAAAGAACTGCAGATACTGGCAATCTGAAACAAAGACAGAAATTTCTGCAGAAACTCGAAAAGGTCTGCTAGCATCTATGGAGAGAAAGCAGAGTTAATGTTTCAAGTCCAGTGACCCTTCTTCAGAAGGGTCCATTCTGAAGAAGGGTCACTGGAATCGAAACGTTAATTCTGCTTTCTCTCCACAGATGGTACCAGACCTGCTGAGTATCTGCAGCAATTTCTGTCTTTGTTTGTTAAACAGGTTACATGGGGTCTCCGACTTAAGAACATTTGACTTATGAGCACTCGTACTTACGAACACGATCCCTATTATCTAAATTTTAAGGTTCCGATTTGCAAACGTTTGCCCATACTTACGAACGGATATTTTAGCCATGCGGTATTGTGTTCAACTTACATATAAATTGACTTACAAACGCAATCAGGAATGGAACCCATTATAAGCCAGGGACCTCCTGTATCTGGTCATTATCACAATGCCGTTTGTGGGATCTTGCTATGCACAATTTAGCTGTCACACTTCCTACATTACAACAGTGACTGTAAAGACAGTAATAACAGTGACTTTTACACTTCATTGCAGTGTCCTGAAGTTGTGAAAGGTGCTACAGAAATTCATGCCCTTCTTTGTGCAATTTAGTGATAAATTTTGCAAAAATCTTCATAACGAGGCTATCCTTTATTCCTGCTCCATTTCCCAATTTTAATTGCAAACGTTGTATGTCTTACATTATCTCCATATATTTCAGTTTCTGCACTACATCATTAACAGCTCATGAGTGATTTACTACAGCTAATCCCCTGGTTGTTACACATCTTTTGTCACCTTATAGTTGCTTGTATCTTTGTGAGTTTGTGTTGTGGTTGGTTTCTGTGTTCACAAAAAGTTCTCAATGTGTTTCTTCAAACAGGGAAACGAGGGGAGACAAGGAGAACCAGGGCGGTCTGTGAGTATCATGGAACTGTAGGAAACCAAACGCAGAGAGGCTACTCAAGCCATTGTATCTGCACCAGCCCTCTGAAAGAGCAATTGAACTAGTCTCGCCTCCTTCCCCTTCCCTATAGCCCTGCATGTGTTTCTTCCCTTCAAATATTTATCAAACTTTTCGTAATTACTAATGAATCTGCTTAAGTTGCCCTTTCATGCAATGTGTTCCAGATTGAATCAACTGCATTTGGAATATTGTGAGCAATTCCGGGCCCTGTAGAGAACAGTCCAGAGGAGGTTTACAAGAATGATCCCAGGGATCAAGGGTTTTTCATATGAAGAGCAATTGTGGACTCTGGGTGTCTTGATGGGAGTTTAGAAAGATGAGAGGAGATCTCATTGAAACTGACAGAATACAAAGAGGCCTGGATAGAGTGGACATGGAGAAGGTTTATCTACTAATTGGAGAGAATGGGACCTGAAGGCGCAGCCTCAGAGTGAAATGTCGACTCTTTAGAGCTGAGATGGGGAGGAATTTCTTCTGACTCTGTGGAACTTGTTGCCACAGAAGGCTGAGTCATTGGGTGTACTTAAGACAGAGATAGATAGCTTCTTGATGAGTAAGGGGATCAAATGTAACAGGGAGAAGGCAGGAGAATGGGATTGAGAAACATATCAGCCATGATTGAATGGCGTAGCAGACTCAGTTGGCTGAATGGCCTGATTCTGCTCCTATATAGACTCATAGAATCCCTACAGTGTGGGAACAGGCCCTTCATCCCAACAAGTCCACACCGACCCTCACAGCATCCCACCCAGACCCATCCCCCTATAACTCACCAAATCTAGACATCCCTGAATACTGGGCAATTTAGCATGGCCAATCCACCTACCTGCACACCTTTGGACTGTGGGAGGAAACCGGAGCACCCAGAGGAAACCCACGCAGACACAAGGAGAACGTGCACACTCCACACAGACAGTCGCCCGAGGGTGGGATCGAACCCAGGTGCCACTGTGCTGCCCCAATCTCATGGTCTTATGCTATTGAAGCAAAGGTGCTCCGAATCTCTAGCTTTTTTTTAAACAAAGATCATAGAGTCTCCTCCATTTAGCTTCCCTTGATATAAAACATTTATAAAACTGAGGCATTCAAGAATACTTGAGCAATGATTATAGATGTATTTATGTGTCAGATGGAGCTAGGCTTTGTGCTTTTTTCCTGATTTATACTGTCCATCGTTCCAACTCCTTTACAAGCCCAGTGGAGGCCAACTTCATTTTGACATTTGGCTATGGTTCTGTCATGCAGTTCAGGGTTCTTTTCCTACTGTAAAGGTTTAGAAATGGAAATTGCTGATATTCCAATAGTCATTTGGTACTTCAGAACTTGAGAATGACTGAGTGAAGGAAAAGAGAAACATGCTGTAGAAGCTTTTCACCTTCCACTCATCAGAACATCATCACAAGAATGCCAAATTTTGAAGTGATTAACAATCTATATTGCAATGAGGAATGGGTACCGATTAGCAAGTTCTCTCAGATTGCTTGAGGCATTGCTGCAGAGAATGCATTTAGGGACATTTTGTCCCCCCGCTTTTCTTAAATTGAAATAAAGTTAGAAATTCTGTTGATTTGTAGCATCTGTTTAGTTGAAAAATGCAGAACCAATTTTCATGTTTAGGAAACCACAATCCCCAGTTTCCAACAGTCTGCCAATGGGACAGGTCCATGAAATATCAAAATCTGAATTTCATACCCCATTTCTGTTTGTATAAAAAATGTGTTTCCTGTTTGACTTTTCTCCTGTCCCCTAAAATTGCTTGAAGCAATAAATAGTTTGATCTGATGAGCATGAAGGGCGGCACAGTGGCACCGTGGTCAGCACTGCTGCCTCACAGCTCCAGGAACCAGGGTTCAATTCCAATCTCGGGTGACTGCCTGTGTGGAGTTTACACATTCTCCCTGTGTCTGTGTGGATTTCCTCCCACAGTCCAAAGATGTGCAGGTTAGGTGGAAAAGGCCATGCTATATTGCCCATAGTGTTTAGGGATGTGTAGATTAGGGGGATGGGTCTGGGTGGGATGCTCTGAGGGTCAGTGTGGACTTGTTGGGCTGAAGGGCCTGTTTCCACACTGTAGGGATTCTATGAGAACTGAATGCCTGAGCTGACACAGAGTCAAATCTTATTGCAATGGACTCCAGCACCAGATATCTAAACTACTGAAAATTTCCAGTAGAAACTTTGGAAGTCCAGCATCTGCAGGACAGTCAACAGAAATATAAAAGATTGGGAAGTGTTAGGGAGAACAAGGGATTGCTCTGGGAATGCTATCGTTTCAATTTCCTGTTAGACTGCCAACAAATAATTTCGGGCTGTGTTCCCATTAAGTGTTGACAGATAAGGATTACTGAGAACATTTTATTTTGGGGAACATCAGTGTTTCTAATTTATTAATGAGATGTGAGTGTTTCTGACGTGGCCAACATTTATTGCCCATTTCCAGTTGCCCTTAAAATAAGATACAAGTCGACAGCTCATGGTGCTCTAGTTTAAAAATGTTTAACTCTAGTTCAACTGGATCTAATGTGAATTTTCTTTTGAAAAATAATGTATGATTGAAAATAGTTCTATTCAAGTAAACAGTCATTTGGTACAAGACTTGAGAATAGAACACAGAACAGGACAGCACCGGAACAGGCCCTTCTTCCCATCATGTCTGTGCTGCCCATGATGCCATTCTAAACTAATTCCATCTGCCTTCAAATGGTCCATATCCCTCTATTCCCTCCCTGTTTGTGTGCCTGTCTAAATGCCTCTTAAACATTTCTATCATATAACATTCCAGACTTCTATTGAATTCAAATTTCACCCCCTGCCAGTCCTAGAATTTGAACCCATGCCTCAGAACATTCGCCTGAGGTTCTCGATGACTAATCCACTGACATTATCGCCATGCCAACACCTCATCAGAATGGATGAAAAAACAAAGAGACACGCTGTAGAAATTTTTCACCTTGCACTCATCAGGACACCATCACAAGAATGCCAAATTTCCAAGGGAACAACAGTTTATACCACATAAGGAAAGGGTTGGCACATTCTCTCAGATTGGTTGAGATGCCGCTGCAGTGCATGCCCCTGGGAAATTCTGTCCTCCATGCCGTTGCTTAATTCAAAAAAGTTTAAATGTCTGCTCATTTGTAACTGAAAAATGGAGGCCCAGTTTACATATGTAGAAAACAATAATCCCGGTTTCCAACAGTCTTCCAGTAGAAATTGTTCCAGTAATGCTTTTAATTTATTCAAAGGATGTGAGTATTACTGGCTAGGCCGACATTTATTGCCCCTCTCTAATTGTCCTTGACAAATGACACACATTGACACCTCAGATGCTCTGAAAAATTGTGTTTGATTCTGTTTGTACAAGTTGATAACAGTTATTGGTTTCTTGGCCGTCTTGTCGGTTGATCATTGCAAACCGTTGTGTTATTAGCAGGGTATAGACCAGTAGTCACATCCAAAGAATATTTTCCAGATTGACACACTGTTCAGCTGCTACTTTCCATTTGGAGCCTTCTCCTCTTCCCGTCTCTCTCATCCCCCAAGCTTAACATCAAAATCATGAGGGGCTTGTATTGGGTGAATAGCCAAGGTCTTTTCCCCAGGGAAGGGGAGTCCAAAACTAGTGGGCATAGGCTTAAGGTGAAATGGGAAAGATTTAAAAGGGATCTACGGGGCAATTTTTTCACGCAGAGGGTGGTGTGTGTATGAAATGAACTGCCAGAGGAAGTGGTAGAGGCTGGTACATTTACAATATTTAAAAGGCATCTGGATGGGTATATAAATAGGAAGGGTTTAGAGGGAGATAGTAGGAACTGCAGATGGTGGCGAATCCGAGACAACAAGGTGAAGAGCTGGATGAACACAGCAGGCCAAGCAGCATCATAGGAGCAGAAAGGCTGACGTTTCGGGCCTAGACCCTTCATCAGAAATGGGGGAGGGGAAGGGGCTTCTGAAATAAATAGGGAGAGAGTGGGAGGCGGATAGAAGATGGATAGAGGAGAGGATAGGTGGAGAGGATTTCACAAGCTTCAAAATCTCCCCTCCCCCTACCGCATCCCAAAACCAGTCCAGCTCGTCCCCGCCTCCCTAACCTGTTCTTCCTCCCACCTATCCCCTCCTCCCACCTCAAGCCACACCCCCATCTCCTACCTACTAACCTCATCCCGCCCCCTTGACCTGTCCGTCCTCCCTGGACTGACCTATCCCCTCCCTAACTCCCCACCTACACTCACCTTTACTGGCTCCATCCCCGCCTCTTTGACCTGTTTGTTTCCTCTCCACCTATCCTCTCCTCTATCCATCTTCTATCTGCCTCCCACTCTCTCCCTATTTATTTCAGAACCCCCTTCCCCTCCCCCATTTCTGATGAAGGGTCTAGGCCCGAAACGTCAGCCTTTCTGCTCCTATGATGCTGCTTGGCCTGCTGTGTTCATCCAGCTCTGCACCTTGTTGTCTAGGGTTTAGAGGGATATGGCCCAAATGGGACTAGATTAATTTAGGGTATCTGGTCGGGCATGGACAAGTTGGACCGAATGGTCTGTTTCTGTGCTGTATATCTCTATGACTATGATTTTCTGTCACACAAGCAAGTGACCATAAAATTTAACCCCAGTTCAACTGGATCTGATCTGAATCATTTACAAAAAGAATTGTTTGTGATTCTGTTTGTGTAATTTTTATGACTGCTGGGTCCTGGTTTACTCCATCCTTGACCTCATCCTTGCCAATCTGCCAGGTGCAGTTGCATCTTGTCCATGACAGTATCGGTAAGAGTGACCATCGCACAGTCGTTGTGGAGACAAAGTCCTGCCTTCATGTTGAAGATACCCTCCATGTTGTTGTGTGCCACTATCACTGTCCAAATGGGACAGACTTCGCACAGATCTAGCAACTCAAGACTGGGCATCCATGAGGCACTGTGGGCCATTAACAGCAGCAGAATTGTACTCCAGCACAATCTGTAACCTCATGGCCCGGTATATCCCCCACTCAACCATTACCATCAAGCCAGAGGATCAACCCTGGTTCAATGGAGAGTGCAGGAGGGCATGCCAGGCCTCCCTAAAAATGAGGTGCCAACCTAGTTACATGCGCGAAAGGATTACTTACATGTCAAACAGCATAAGCAACAAATGATAGATGGTAGTAAGTGATTGCACGACCAACAGATCAGATCTAAGCTCTGCAGTCCTGCCACATCCAGTCCTGAATGGTGGTGGGCAATTAAACAACTCACTGGAGGAGGATGCTCCACAAATATCCCCATCCTCAATGATGGAAGAGCCCAGCACATCCGTGCAAAAGATAAGGCTGAAGTATTCACAACGATCCTCATCCAGAAGTGTCAAGTGGATGATCCATCTTGGCCTCCTGTAGTGGTCCCCACTGTCACAGATATTCTTCATTGGAATCACTCAATGTGATATCAAGAAACAGCAGAAGGCACTGGAATCTGCCCAGAATACGGGTCCTGACTACATTTCAGCCACAGAAGTAAAGACCTGTATTCCAGAACTTTCTGCTCCCCTAGCCAGGCTCTTCCAGTACAACTACAACATTGGCATCCACCCAATAATGTGGAAAATTGCCCAGATATGCCTTGTACACAAAAAGCAGGACAAATCCAACCAGCCAGTTACCGCCCCAACAGCCTATACTCGATCATCATTAAAGTGTTCGAGGGTGTCATTAAGTGATATCAAGCAGCACCTGCTCAGCAATAACCTGCTCAGCGACGTCCAGTTTGGGTTCCTCCAGGGCCACTCAGCTCCTGACCTCATTACAGCCTTGGTTCAAACATGGACAGAAGAGCTGAATTCCAGAGGGGAGGTGAGAGTGACAACCCTTGGCATCAAAGCTGCATTTGACCAAGTGTGGCATCAAGGAGCCGTAGTTAATGGGAATTGGGGGAAACCTCTTCACTGGTTGGAGTGATGTCTGGCACATAGGACGATAGTTGTGTTGTTGGAAGTCAGTCATCTCAGCTCCAGGACGGCTCTGCAGGAGTTCCTCAGGGCAGTGTCCTCGGCCCAACCATCCTCAGGTGCTTCGTGAATGACCTTTCCTCCATCATAAGGTCAGAAGTGGGGATGTTCACTGATGACTGCACAGTGTTCTGCACCATTCACGACTCTTCAGATACTGAAGCAATGCATGTTGAAATGCAGCGAACTGTGGACAATATACAGGTTTGGGCTGACGAGCACAATGCCAGGTAAAAAAACATCATTCCTTGACATGCAATGGCATTATCATCACTTAATCCCTCCACTATCAACATCCTGGGTGGGGTACCAATGACTAGAAACTCAACTGGAATAGCCGTACAAATAATATGGTTACAAGAGCAGGTCAGAGGCAAGGAATACTGCAGCAAATTACGCACTCCCTGACTCCCCAAAGCCTGTCCACCATCTACAAGGCACAAGTCCGAATTGTAATGGAATACTCCCCACTTGCCTGGATGGGTGCATCTCCAACAACACTCATGAAGTTTGATACCATCCAGGAGAAAGCAGCTTGGTTGATTGGCACCACATCCACACGCATCCACTCTCTCCACCACCAATGTTCAGTAACAGCAGTGTGTACCATCTACAAGACGCACTGCAGAAATTCACCAAAGATTCTTGGAGATTACCTTTCAAATCCAGGACTGCTACCATCCAGAAGGACAAGGACAGCAAATACATGGGAATACGACCACCTGCAAGTTCCCCTCCAAGTCACTCATCGTCCTGACTTGGAAATATATCACCGTTCCTTCACTGTCGCTGGGCTGATGCCCTGGAACTCCCTGCCTTTGCAGCATTGAGGTGTACTTACACCAAGTGGAATGCAGTGATTCAAGAAGACAACTCATCTTCAGCTTCTCAAAGGCAATGTGGGGTGCTCAATAGGTGCCCAATAAATGGCCTAGTGAGCGACACCCACAGCGAATGAATAAATAAAATTGGTTATTGCAGTAATGCAGTTGACCAAGTGTACCTTATAGTGATTTTACTTGGTAATATACAGTAGACCTGCAACATAATGCATGCTTTCCAGCTCCTACCTCATGACCCATTACACCTACATTGCTGCTCAGCATTGATACCTTATCCCCCAGTGCACTGAGCTTTAGATACTTCTCTGTCCCTATCCCTCTATCCTCTTCCCACACCCTCATTGCAGCCTTGGCTTCTTCAGATGTAGCCTTTCTGTTCACCTTTCCATTGTGTCAGCTCCAATGTCGGAACACTGTCTGAAACATTTTACTCTATTCACTTAGAATCATAGAATTTCAACAGTGTGGAAGCAGGCCCTTTGACTCATCGAGTCCACACTGACCATCCAAAGAGCATCCCACCCAAACCCGGCCCCCAACCCTCTTTCTGTAACCCTGCATTTCCCATGGCTATTCCACCTAATCTAAACATCCCTGAACACTACGGACAATTTAGCATGGCCAATCCACCCTGACCTGCACATCCTTGGACTGTGGGAGGAAACTGGAGCACCCGGAGGAAACCCACGCAGACACGGGGAGAATGTGCAAACTCCACACAGACAGTCACCCACATGTCTGCATGGGTTTCCTCCTGGTACTCCGGTTTCCTCCCACAGTCCAAAGATGTATGCACTTCTCCCCCCACTCTTTCAGCAATCTTCTCAAAAACTTTCGGTCTCATCGCTCAAATGGTTGATGGACTGTGCTCATCCTTGTCCTATTGCCTTCTTGCATTTTATTTGCTTCACCTCTGTTCCTTCCCCCTCCCCTGTAAAGCATTAAAAAACTTTGGGATAATTATTGATGAAAATTGTTGCTCAGTAACCAAATGTTGCTAAAGGCACTTTGCTTTCTCAATTTCTAATTGTTCCAATTCTCTCATTCTACTACAGATCACTGGCCCACCAGGAAGCAAAGGTGACCGGGTAAGATCATTCTGTCCTTTCTATATATGGCCTTCTACGGTATCTTGTGTCAGCTGCTCTGTTAAACTACACTCCCTCATTTTGTTGGGAATCAGATGAATGCTGTGCTTCACGCAAATTATATTTTAATTTTTACTTCAGGGCGAGCGTGGACCACCAGGAATCCCAGGGGAGAAGGGAACAAAAGGTAGTCCAGCAGAGAAAGGCAACAAGGTGAGGCAGAAGTTACAGAGAGTCAACCTGCACAGTGTATCTGGGGAAATTGCGGGAGACTGTATGCCCTTGGCACTTTAAGCTGTGTGCTGATGAAGAAGGATGTGTTTTGCTGATCACTGTCCATTTCTCTACTTCTGCACTGCAATTATCTTCTTTATAGAGCCTTGGGTTTTGGAAAATTGTCCAAAAGCTCAGATGGACTGGTTGCTTAACATGTAGAGACCTGAAAGCCTAAATCTTTGCCACAAGGAGTTGTTGTTGGGAGTTTTTAAAAAATTCATTCACAGAATGTGGGCATCATTGGCTAGTCCAGCATTTATTGCCCATCCGTAATTGCCTAAAGGGTAGTTAAGGGTCAATAATATTGCTGTGGGTCTGGAGTCACACATAGGCCAGACCAGGTAAGGATATCAGTTTCCTTTCCTAAAGACCGTTAGTGAACCAGATGAGTTTTTCCCACAATCATCAATGGTTTCATGATCATTATCTTTATGATAGCGGGATTTGAACGCAGCTCCCCAGAACATTACCTGGGTGGCATGGTGGCTCAGTGGTTAGCACTGCTGCCTCACAGCGCCAGGCTGGGTTCAGTTCCACCCTCAGGTGACTGTCTGTATGGAGTTTGCACATTCTCCCTGTGTCTGCATGCTCTGGTTTCCTCCCATAGTCCAAAGATGTGCCGGCTAGGTGGATTGGCCATGCTAAATAGCCCATAGTGTCGAGGGATGTGCAGTGTAGGCGGGTTAGCCATGGGGAAATGCATTGTTACAGGGATGGGGCAGCTCTGGGTGGGATGCTCTTTCGAGGTTAGTGCAGATTCAGTGGACTGAATGGCCTGCTTCCACACTGTAATTGCTGGTTGTAATGGCTGTAGAGACCAGAGAGCCTAAATCCTTGCTACAAGGACAAACAGATGGGCTAGGAATTGTTTATTTTAATTCATTGGCAGGATGAGGGTGTCACTGGTTAAGTCAGTATTTAATGTCCATCCCTAATTGCCCAGAGGGCAGTTGCGAGTCAGCCACATTACTGTGGGTCTGGAGTCACATGTAGGCCAGACCAGGTAAGGATGGCAGTTCCTCCGGCTCCACACTATGTTATCTAAGACTCAACCATATAGGATCTGGAGTAATATTTTCTTCTCTTTGTCGAGAATATTTCACAACTTTTACATTTTGTTTTACAGGGTGAGACTGGATATGGTATCCCAGGGCAACCAGGACCCAAAGGTGATCCAGGTGAAAGGGTGAGTCTTTTAATCTTCCTTTTTAAAAATAAGTAACCACAGAATTGTACAACAATGAATGAGTCCTATCTGCCCATCTGTCTGTGCCAGCTCTTTGAAGAACCTGTACAGGATATCAATTAGGCCACTTTTGGAATACAGCATTCAGTTGCAGTCTCCCTGCAATGGGAAAAGTATTATGAAATGTGAAAGGGTTCAGAACAGATTTATGAGGATCAGGGTTTGGAGGGTTTGAGCTACAGGGAGAGGCTGAATAGGCTGGGGCTATTTTCCCTGGAATGTCGGAGGCTGTGGGGTGACCTTATAGAGGTTTATAAAGTCATGAGGGGCATGGATACGATGAACAGCCAAGGTCTTTTTCCCAAGAGAGGAGGTTGAAAACTAGAGGACATAGGTTTAAGGTGAGAGGGGATTTAAAAGGGACCAAAGAGGCAACTTTTTCACGCAGAGGGTGGTGTATGTATGGAATGAGCCTCCAGAGGAAGTGGTGGAGACTGGTACAAATACAGCATTTAAAAGGCATCTGGATGGTATATGAATAGGAAGGGTTCAGAGGGATATGAACCAAATTCTGGCAAATGGGGCAAGACTAATTTAGGATATAAGCAGAAGTTGCTGGAAAAGCTCAGCAGGTCTGGCAGCATCTGTGAAGAAAACATCAGAGTTAATATTTCAGGTCTGGTGACCCTTCCTCAGAACTGTTCTTATACCATTACACTTTATACCATGCCCTGCATCAGTCTTTTCTTACGAAAGGATGTAAGGAAATAAAATACACAGATAAATTTTTATTGTAGCTGAAAGAGTTGGACCAAAGTGTCTGTTTCCGTACTGTACCATTCTATGACTCTACGGTTCTGTAACCATCTGTGTAATCCTTCCAATCTTATTTACCAATCAAATGTGTCAGTTTTTTGTTTATCAAGTTCTCTTCCAATCCCTTTTCAAAGTTTGAATTTCCTTTCCCTACCCTTTAAGGCAGTGTATTAAAAATCACAGCAACACACTCAGGAAAACAATTGTTTCTCCCTTTCCAATTTCACCAACACCCTTCATCATTTGAACACCTCGATTACATTTTGAACACCTCAATTAAATGCACATCTCTCCCACCTTATTGTACTCTCTTATAGGCTTTAGGACCTCGATGTTGGACCAAAAGGCAGACCTCAAGCTCACACTCCCATGCTAGAAAATGGAATTAGAATAGCTTGGTGCTGGTTTTTGACCAGAGCAGATTGTGGATCTCTATGATGCTATGGCAGTTCCCAGCAAAGGGATCCCTTGACAAATGGAAAACAACAAATGCTGGAGATCACAGCGGATCAGGCAGCATCCATGGAGAGAGAGCAAGCTAACGCTTCGAGTCCAGATGACTCTTCCTCAGAGCTGAAGTGAAGTGTGGAGGGGGCAGCATTTATGCAATAGCTGGGTGGTTGAGTTGAAGTGCTGGGGCAGAAAGGATGTTGCTAGTTCAGATTAAGTGATTGGACTGACAAATCTACTGGAGGCAGCTTCTTAGTTGGCACATCTCTTGGTTCGCTGCCCAATATGAGTGTTATAAATCACAGCTGAGGTATGATAGGCAGTGTGATAGGAATATTTTAAATCATGAAAGCAAGGCACAGAACAGATAGAAACAGGGCTTCTCCAACGAGGGGACAAGAATAAGTGCAACAACATCCACAAAAATCCATAGTAGGCTAAAGAGAAATTCGCACTTGCAGTTAATATCTGAAAGGATCACATGTAAAGATTTCACATTTTAAAAGAACTTTTAGTTGATCAGTGACTGAAGGCAAAACAATGTTAACTTTCCATCAGCCAGCATTTCTTTCAACCACTGAGCGCATTTTTTTTCTTTCTGTTTTTAACGACAACCTAAAACCCCAATTTTGTCACACTGCTCGGGAAATCTTCGTTAAGCAATCCAAGGTGTTTCACAGCAAGCAAGGATTTATTTCTGTTCTTTTTCTTTCCCAATGTTAAGTCCCAGTGTGACACTCTTTTTTTCCTGTAGATTCTCCCTCTAGCTAGGCAAATCCTCCAGCCTCTTCCTTACTCCTTCAGAACTCAGTCTTCAGAATTGAGCACAAGCTCCCATGCTCTATTTCATGAGCAAGCATTAGAATTGGCATTTTCTTTGCCTAATGTGCAGGCCTGGCCAACATCAATTTCTTCTTTTTTCTCTTCATCTCATAGTTGACCGCAAACTACTCAAGAGCAAAAATTGCAACTGCCCCAACAGTGATATCTCAGGGCATTTTAGGGAAAATAGTTTCTTGTTACCTTCTCGAAGGTAATGAGAAATGCCTTAACCTTATATCCAAGTAAAAATATTAATCTCTGATAGCTCACTACCAACATCTAAAGGGCAGTTAGGGATGGGCAATAAATGCTGGCCCAGCCATCAATGCCCACATCCCACAAGTTATTAAATTAAAGAAAACATTCCTTGGCTTACCACCTTAGAAACACAAGGGACAGGTCCCAGCGCAGTCTTTGCAAATCAATAACATTTTTCGGGGTTTGAGCAGAATTAGATGTCTTCTCATTGTGGAGTTAGACACAGCTGTCATTGACCCCAGAATGATATTTAGCATTTCCCGTTCAGTATTACGATAGGCAGAATTTTATATAGATGGTAGGAAAAGGTTGTATGGCCCAACCCCCCAAAAAGGAAAGGCAGCAGTAAGCGAACAGGCTCTGAAAGGGTCTTCTCCGCAGCCATGATATGCTGTGGGTGGCTAAATTGATGCAAAGTCTGACTATGGCCTCTCAGTGGGTGGAAGATCACCCCCATCTCTGGAACTGTCCTTCAATGGGATTAGTCTCCAGTAGAGCTCTGCAGTTGATGCTCCCTGAACTGCACCCAGTCGCAGAATGAGGGCCCCAAAGGATCTTGGTCATAAGTAAGTGGCAGAGGACTGGGCAGGGAGGGATTTTCCCACCTTTAGGATCACATGGGATGGTCGGAGGGAAGGGTTTTAAAATCCATGCGGATATTTTCTGTTCGGGGAATTGGATGGGTCCCACTCAAGTGATTGGAACGAGGTCGGTCAGGTGGATATCTTGGAGTATGAGTTCGCTGATTGGGATTCTTAACTGGTCCAATCAGGGAGTCCTGGCTGACAATATAAACAGGAGTGTCAGGGGTTCTGCTCACTCTCGGAGCCAGCTCTGAGCTAGCTGAGTCAGTGTCATCTACTATGCATGTGTCACTAAAGGGTGACTTGGTGGTGGGATACCAGCCTTTGTGAAGTTATCACACTCCCTAATGTGCTCAGGGCAACCTCTGAAAAGAGTACCCGTTTTTTCTTGCATTTTTAGGAACATAGGAGGAGGGTAAGAAATGGGCTAGCCACTCCTGCCCAGACCCATCAACCTCAAACTCAATTGACTCTCAGTTATTAAGTCTGTAAGTTGTATGTATGTTATTATAAGGAGTGAGGGGGTGGCAGAGTGGCAATGTCATGGCACTAGTAATCCGCAATCCGAGGATAATGTTCTCGAGACATGAGTTCAGAACCTACCGCAGTTGAGGGTAGAATTTAAATTCTTTTCCAAGAAGGAATTAGGTATAGTTCTTAGGGTTAAAGGGATTAAAAAGGTGGAGACAGCAACATGGCACTGAATTGGATGGTCAGCCACAATCATATTGAATGCCAGAACATGCTCGAATGTCTGAATAGCCTACTCCTGCTCCTGTCTTCTGTATTTCTATGTTGGATGGACAGTTGCTGTTGGCATCCCTATCCCACCACACACCCGGGATCATGGGGGTGAGCTCGGGGGTGGGTGAGATGGCACCTGTCCCATTTTAAGTGACCCCCTCCAGCAATACAGGCAGCGTGTAAACATCAGTGTCACTCTCCCTTTGACCCAACCCATTGTCTTCTGTGGATACAAACACTCTCCACAGAGACTGTCAGAAATCACCATGACTGACTTCACTTCAAGCTGTCACAGTGGGACTTTGGCTAAAGTTGTCAATAATCACTCCTCAGTTAAACCTCATCAGCGACAATGCACTGCTCAGTATTACAGGTCATTAAACCCACTTTTAAAAAAATAATTTCCAGAGTTAGATAATTTGATGACCAAAAAGATATAAAATCCCTTAAAATGTAATGTCATGGGACTAGTAACCTATAGTCCAAGAATAATGCACTTGACACATGAGTTTAAATCCTCCTGTAGCGGAGAGTAGAATTTAAATTATTTTCCAAGGAGTTAAATATAGTTCTTAGGGTTAAAGGGATAAAACGGTGAAAACCGTTTTGTAACAACAAATACAAGCCATAGTAGGAGCAAATTACTGCAGATGCTGGAATCTGCACTGAAAACAAAAAATACTGGAGATCACAGTGGGTCAGGCAGCATCCATAGAGAGAGAGCAAGTGAGCATTTCGAGTCTAGATGACTCGTCTCATCTGCTCTGATGCAGAGTCATCTAGACTCGAAACATTAGCTTGCTCTCTCTCCATGGACGCTGCCTGACCCATTGTGATCTCTAGCATTTGTTGCTTTCGACAAAAGGCATAGATGTGCAGTTGAGGGTGGGAGAAATGCTTCATGCAAAAAATTGAGAGGGTGTGAGATTTTATCTCCAGGGTTACTGGTTAGGGATGAAACTTGAGTGAACATTTAGTATTCAGTTGTAAAGGAAGATGAAGGAGTGTTTGAAGGGCTGTGGAAATGTGATAAAAAATTTGGATTCAGATCTGTTATGGACCAGACCAAACCCCCTCGAAATATCAGAAGATAATCTAGACCTTAACTTTTTTTCTTATTTTAAAGGTAAATGGAAGGTGTTGCCTTCCAGGTGCAATTCAGTTGATCACACTACTGGATTTAAAGCAAAACTCATGCTTTATTCATCCACTCTTGTTAAAATACGACAAAAGATAGAAGGAATTGGAATAACAACTACTGGAAAACTTAACAGACTAAAAGATACAGTAACTATTACTAATTAACTGTTCCAATATCGTGCCATCCCATAAACACACCCTTGGCAAAAGGCAAATTCAGAAAACAGATTGTCTCATATAACTTCAATAGCATGAAGTCAATCCCAGCTTTTGGCTGTAACTGAGAGAGGGAAAAAATACCTTCCACTTCTTCAAGACCCAATAGCAAAGATCCTGGTTCTGTGGCAGTTTGACCACACCCACCATGGCTGCTTCTGTTGTTTCAACTTCAAACAGAAACACCCAAGGCTTCACAAGCTGTTTATCTTCCCATAGATTGCTCTGCGCCTATTTCCCAATCTCTCCCTAAAAGAAACCAGGACAAAACACACCTCTTAAAGCCACAGACCGTTGTTCCTTTTAATGTCCCTTCACTGTGCAAGGCCCATCCCTTACACCTCATGTTCGCTTTAAAATTGCAGCTGAATATGTACAACTTAAAGGGATCATTAGTTGTGCATATACTTTGTTCTCTGGGCTTTCTTTTAATTCATGCATGTGGGACATGGGCACTGCAAGCTCAACCAGCAATTATTGCGCATCCCCAATTGCCTTTGAGAAGGTGTTGATAGCTGCCTACTTGAACCATGTGATGTTGGCACATCCACAATGCCCTTAGGGAGAGAATTCCAGGATTTTGACCCAGCAACACTAAAGGAACAGCGATATATTTCCAAGTCAGGATGGTGAGTGGCTTGGAGGGGAACTTGTAGGGGGGTGGTGTCCCCATGTATCTGCTGCCCTTGTCCTTCTAGATATAAGTGGTTATGGGTTTAGAAAGTGCTGTGGGAGGAGTCTTCGTGAGATGCTGTAGTGCATCTTGTAGATGGTACACACTGTGAGTCAGTAGCGAAGGAGGTGGTCATGGGTTTGGAATGTGCTGTTAGAACAGCTTTTTTGATTTGTGAGTACAACATAGGACCATCAGTAGTCCATTCTGCCCCTCTAGCCTGTTGCACATTCAATGAGATCATGGCAGATCTGTAGCGTAACTCCATGCACTTGCCTTTGGCCCATATTTCTTAATATTTCTGCTTAACAAAACTTTATGTCTCTCAGAGTTAAAATTAGCAACTGATCCTGCATCACTGCCATTTGTGGAAGAGAGTTCCAAACCTCTACCACCCTTTGTGTGTAGAAGTGCTTCCTAACATCTCTCCTGAATGGTCTGGCCCTAATTCGCAGGATATGCCCTTAGTTCTAGAAACCCCAACCAGTGGAATTGTTTATCTTTATCTACCCTGTCTTTTCCTGTTAATATTTCAAAGACTTTGATCAGATCACTCCTTAACCTTCTAAATTCTAGAGAAAAACAGGCCTAATTTGTATAATCTCTTCTCATAGCTTACTGTATCGATGGTACACATTTGTGGCATATTCCCAATACTTAAGTGGCTTTAAGGGAAGATTGATTAAACATATATGCTCATGTGGTGGAGAAACACACATCATGAACCAGATGGGCCGAACAGCCTGTTTCCATGATGTAAGGTCAATGGTTTGTCAACTGCCAATAGACCATGGTCTGCAGTTGGAGCTACCACACTAACCTTTCTACATCTCGTTTTAGGGGAATATTGGGCTTTCTGGGAGACCAGGAGAAAAGGTAAGGAGTACTCCAATAGCAACAGCAGAACACCTGGTATAAATTTACTTTGTTCTTAAATGGGAAGATGGAGACTAATGACGGGTTTCTGTTACAGGGAGATCGAGGACAAAGTGGAGAGAAAGGGGAGCCTGGCAGAATGGGACTGCCTGGACCAAGCGGACCCCGTGGGAAAGAGGTAAAGGCCCAGTTGTGCTCCCAAAAGACATTGGAGCTGGAGCAGGCCATTCAGCCCATCAAGTCTGCTCCACCATCCAATCAGATCATCACTGATCAGATAATCCTCACCTCCACTTTCTTGCCTTTTCCCCTTAGCCCTCCATTCCCTCCCCAGTCTTGATCCATTTAGTTTGGGACAAAATCCATGACAACATTGATCTCTTTTGATTACATTCTCTCTGTTGAGAACGTAGTCGATTAGCTTCTTCCCGATTCTGTTTTTCTTTGTGGTGCAGAAGAATAATCATTAATCAGTTATCTTACTGGACTGCAACTGCTGAAAGCTCAGACAGTGACCCCCCCACCCTCAACACCTGATCAAAAAGACCGTCTCCCTATGGCCAGAAATCCTTGACTTGACTTCATGCAGTTAGACATGCAGTTAAGTGGCTCAGGATGATATTTGCGCCCCCAAGTGGTCAACTCATAGCTGCCCCTGAAGAGGTCTTGCCCTACCACAGGCCAATTTAGGAGGGGCACTAGCTCTTGGCTCTGCCAGTGATGCACACCTGACATGAATGCATTGAAGATACAGAGGTGTGAGTGCTGTGGACTGAAACTGCCTTCAGGACAAGTCTGTATCAGTTCACAGGTTGAAAACTCCCTAACTGTTTTTTATTTGTCATTTCTTTCCCAGGGTGAAAAGGGGAACAAAGGCGATGAAGGGACACCGGTAACTTCACTTTTAAACTGGTATTTCTCTTGAGATTTCAATTGCTTGCATTTTTTGATTTCAGTCACAAAATAACTAACTTCTGCCTTGCCTTGTTTTTCCAGGGAGAGACTGGATTACCAGGGCGGACTGGCGAGAGAGGACTTCGAGTAATACCTATAGAATATTCTCTAATCCAGTGTATAGTAGTTTTAACTCCAACGCAACATCCTAATGACCAAAATCCATTGTAAATTTATTTTACCTTTGGATGCAGACGTCACTGACAAAGTCAATATTTTTAATGGCCCTTGAACTGAGTGACTTGCTGGAACTTTTCAGAGGCCAATTAGGAATGAACTATATAAGATGTAGAAGCAGATGTAGGCCATTCAGCTCATTGAGTGTGCTCCGCCATCGTGGTTGATCTGATAATCCTCAACTCCACCTCCCTGCTGTTTCCCCATCACCCTTGATTCATTTGCTGATTAAAAATCTGTCTATCTCAGCCTTAAATATACTTAACAACCCGCTCTCTACAGTCCAGGGTGGTATGGTGGCTCAGTGGTTAGAACTGCTGCCTCATAGCACCAGGGAGCTGGCTTCAACTCCAGCCTCGGGCAACCGTGTGTGTGGAGTTTGCACATTTGCCATATTTGTCTATGTGGGTTTCCTCTGGGTCCTCCAGTTTCTCCTCACAGCCCAAAGATGTGGCGGTTAGGTGGGTTAGCCATGGGAAATGAGGGGTTGGGTCTGGTTGGGAAAAACTTTGGAGAGTCTGGGCTGATTGGTCTGTCCCTGCACTGTGGGGATTCTAAAGGGTTCACTCTCTCTAAAAGGAGAAGTTCCTCCCTGTCTTTTAAATGGACAGCCCCTTGCTCAGAGCTGATGCACTGTTGTCCTAGACTTCCCACAAGGGGAGACAACCCCTCTGCATCTTACCCTATCAAGTCCCTTGAAGAATCTTGCTGTGGGCCTGGGGTCACACGGATGTCAGGTTTCCTTTCCTGAAGAATTTTAAAGAACCGGATGCATTTTTAATGTGGTCTCATAACCAGATTTGGATTCTAGATTTAATTAAATTTAAATGTTGTAACTGCCATATTGGGATCCAGTTTCCAGACAGTCGAATTAGAGTTAGCTTTATTGTCACATGTACTTATATGAGTACCATGAACATAGACATAGAACAGTACAGCACCGTACAGGCCCTTCGACCCACAATGTTGCGCCGAACTTTTAGCCTAAACCTAAGGTCTATCCAACCTCCACCCCTACCTTATGCTATCACCCATATGCCTATCTAATAGCCGCTTAAATGCCCCTAATGAGGCCGACTCCACTACACTCTCCGGCAATGCATTCCATGCCCCGACGACTCTCTGAGTAAAGAACCTACCTCTGACGTCTTCCCTGTATCTACCTCCACTCACTTGAAAACTATGCCCCCTCGTAATAGCTACCTCCACCCTAGGAAAAAGTCTCTGGCTGTCCTCTGATCATTTTGTACACCTCTATCAAGTCACCTCTCATCCTTTGTCGTTCTAAAGAGAAAAGCCCCAGTTCTCTCAAGCTTTTCTCATAAGACCTTCCCTCCATTCCAGGCAACTCTCCTCTGCACCTTTTCCAACGCTTCCACATCTTTCCTGTTAAAGTGAAGAGTTTACAAGTCACAACTTACATCGCCATCTTAGGTACAAAGGTACTGAGGTACAAATTCTTAAGTAGAAATTCTTAGGAAACAAAAATAAATTAGAAAAATAAATAAAAAGTTAAGAGTAACAGAAACCTCATTCATTCACCCTCTGGACCAGGGGGAACATTCAGAATATGGTCTGTTATAACAGAAGAGAGTTACAGAGTTAATCAATCAATCAGTCAGGAAGGCCCTCATACAAAAGTTTTGCAGCATAAAATATCTGATTTTTAACGTGGCCCGTGCTTAGAAATCAGTACAAATTGCGACAATGAGGAGGACTTGAAGAAAATTGTTCTGCAGTGTGGAATGTTTTTCTGATGCAGGAGATTTCAGAATTACAGGGATAGATGGAGGCCATTTGGCCCAACATGCCTGCACTGTCTCTTCAAATGAGCGTCATTACCTTGTGCCAATCTGCTGCCTTTGTGCAGTAGTTCTATTCAAATTGTCCACTGCCCCTCTGCAATGCCTCTGTTGAACCTGCCTCCACCACGTTTCCAGGCAGCACACCCACTACTCGCTCGGTGAAAATGTTTTTCGCACATCACCCAAGTTTCTTACGCACATCATTTTAAATCAGAAGGTATCTTTAAATTCCTTTTGAGCAGGAACACTCCCACCTGCTCGATCCAGATCACATCTCCCTTTTTCTCTCCACGGAAAGCAGTCCCAATTTCTTCAGTCACCTGATTGCATCCCTGCCTCTGAGCTTAAAGTTCTCAAGTTCAAGGACTCGATGGCCAAGGAAGTTGCGCTCAGAACAGGGCCAGAGGAGTTGGGTGTTAAACTGCAAATCCTTCCGATGTATCCCAAAAGCAGCTGGTTAGAATGGGAAAGAATATTGACACTCAGACATAGACTAATGAATTGCATGGTTGTAGCCAAGGTAGCAGCTCAACATGACCTTCTCTGGGTCTTGGCGACAGTCTCAAAATGCAGGGCTTACCAGTGACACCCAGACACTGCAGATGAAGAAACATTGATGGTGTCAATCCCAATAAATTATCTTGTAGCTCAAGCAAGGGTATGTGTGGGTTAGGTCAATGGCCAAAGCTTTGTGATTTGAGCGCCCAGTGTCGCAGGCAGATCAGGCTAAGATGCAGAGAACCGTTACCATTCTGCCTCATTAATCCATACCAAATCTCAGTTTAGAAGAACCGAGATCCACAGCCTTGGCATGCTGGGCTCAATCCAAGGCGTACATTATTGCATTCAGATCAGCATAGTGACCTTTCACCCTCACTGCCAGGGTTCGAATCCATTGTGGTAAAGACAAGGAACAGCAGATAGTGGAAATCTGAAACTAAAATAGAAAGTGCTGAATGAACTCAGCAGGTCTGAGAGAGAAACAGAGTTAATGTTTCCAGTAGAAGTCTGTGTGGATGACGAGAATTCACCTGGAAAAGTCCTTTATGTTGTACTGTCCATTCCTATAGATCAATCATTGCCATTTCACCGTGAAGATTAGAATGCAGTGTTTAAGAATGGGGTCCAGGGATGAGAAGCCACGTTTATGGGGATAGTTACGCAGAGGTTGAGACTTTTGGCCTTAGAGAGGTGAAGGCTAAGGGACCTCTGATAGAGGTTTTCAAAATCATGGAGTGACAGGATAGAGCAAATAGACACTGCTTCGGATTGAAGCATCGAGAACAAGGGGGCACAGAGTTAAAGTGATTTGCAAACAAAGCAAATGTGATGTGAGGACAAAATGGTAGTCACATAGCAAATAGTTAGGGTCTGGAATGCACTACCTGGAAATGTGGTGGAAGCAGGCTACAAAGCATTAAAAAGGGCATTGGATGCTTATTTAACCAAAACCAATCTGTGAAGGTATGGGGAGAAGACAGGTAAATGACACTAGGTCATGAAGCACATTTGAAGATGTGAGAGGCGCGCTGTAATAATTCTGTGATGTTTGTTCTTTGGGAGGATTATTTGGAGGTGGAGCCATTATTACCCCTCCCTTCTCCCTCCAAAGTGATTCCCATCAAAACACAGGCAGTTCAGCCTTTCTGTGACTCAGGAAGGAGTTATGTTTAAAGGTGTTCTCCTGTTTTCAGGGTGTCCCTGGAATTGATGGTGCCCCAGGAGTGAAAGGAAATGCTGGTGAACCAGGACGGGCTGGAAGAGATGTGAGTCTCATCCACAGCACATTGAACTTCATTTGGAATCGCTCCGTTTTCTTCTGGGTCAGAGTTCATGGCAAACACTTCATTAAAGCTTTAATTGATTTTTGTTTTTCTTTCGATGACTTCTTTCCAGGGGATCAGGGGTCCTGCAGGATCAAAGGGAGACCACGGCGATAGGGTAAGTACATTGTGGATGTTGAAGCAAATGGTTCTAGTGAGAAATGTGGTTACAGAATAAGGATACAGACAAAAAGCGCAAGACGAACTTGCCTGAGTTATAAACAGAAAATACAGAAAGTTCATATAATAGGATTCTTCCTAAGTCAACGAGGAAAAGACAGGCTAATATTGTGTTGTAGACCCCTTATAGGAAAGGCAGGCTAACAATGTGGTATAGGCACCTTATGGGAAAGACATGCTAACAATGTAGTGTAGGCCCCTGATGGGAAAGGCAGGCTAACAATGTGGTGTAGGCCTCTTATGGGAAAGGCAGGTTAACAATGTGGTGTAGGCCTCTTATGGGAAAGGCAGGCTAACAGTATAGTGTAGGCCCCTGATGGGAAAGGCAGGCTAACAATGAGGTGTAGGCCCCTTATGGGAAAGGCAGGCTAACAGTATAGTGTAGGCCCCTGATGGGAAAGGCAGGCTAACAATGAGGTGTAGGCCCCTGATGGGAAAGACAGACTAACATTGTGGTGTAGGCCTCTTATGAGAAAGGCAAGCTAACAATGAGGTGTAGGCCCCTTATGAAAAAAACAGGCTAACAATGTGGTGTCAACCTTTTATGGAAACTGGAAAATTAGCAAGCATTTTAATTAATTTCATAATGCCCTTGCTATACCTCCTCCCATGATCTCACTTTGCTTTTATCTTTCTGTTTTCTTTAATTTTGGAGCCACTCCCTCATTTCTGAGGTAATTTGAAGTGTTGGTTCAGCTTGTCTCTTTTTGAATCCTGTCAAACAGTTGCAATTTGGGTCTTTTCCTATTCTGCAATGGGACGATGTAAGCAGCCACTGGTGTTCTTGGTAGATTTAGTTCAATAGGCTTCCTCGGGAACCGGATGGTTTTCCAGTGCAGTCATTATACATTACAAGATAACTGTTTGTGAACAGAGTTTAGGTCCAAGGTTTGAGTGAGAGCTTTACTGTTGTCAACGACAGTCCATAAAATTCACAACCCACTGATTATTTTGGTTTACATCCTGAAGTGGTATCACACACAACTGAATGGCTGTTTTCTCTTCACCAAATCACTCTTGGTAATTTTTATGTTACTGTATCTGCCACCTGTAAATCTCCAGTGTTGCCAATTAATCAGTCACATGCAATGCCTTGCATGGGCAATGCAGACCACCAAAGGTGAGGGAAGAGAGGAAGGAGATGAAATCAAAATGGAATTGGAAGGGGAGTTAAAGCACTTCCAAAGGCATCGAGAGCATTGATAGACACAATGCGCTCCCTGTCCAAGGACACATAGGCACAAATGTAACCACGGAAGAGGGCCAGACAGTCAATATCTATGATCCCTCCGCAGCCCGCTGCCTGGACCTGTTTATAGCCAGCTTGGCCAGGCCCAGGAGCAGACGCATGAGGGGATCTTCCAACCTGCCCACACCCCTCTGCAGCGTGTGGTTGAAGTGCAACTAAAAGCTTTTTCAAGGAACTAAAATGCACTTGCAACCTCCCACACCCAATGTATAGAATCACACAGCATGGAAACAGACCCTTCAGCCCAACTCATCCATGCCGATCAGATTTCCCTAAACTCCTGTGTATGATCCACGTTCTCCCCAACACCACAAAATAAACAGTTGGGCTGGGAAGTCTGTGAACTGTTGCAGTCTGTGGTTACAAGGGACTGGTGCGTGCAACACCCTTCCATCTAGGTCCCTGGACGGGAAAGTGGAAGGACATCCATGGAAAGAGCAAAGGGACAGCCAGGTGCTGGATGAAGGAGTAAAAGTAACCCATATTTATGCAACTAATTCTCAACCGATTAACCCTCAATTGATACATCTCTCATCCCTTCCATTGGGACTCAGGTATTCATTCAGACCTGATCAGATGGTAAGACACGGAGGGATGGGTCTATTTTTCCTGCCTTTGATTCCCAGGTGAACTACGTCAGCCAAGACATCTTGAGGGAGGAGGGCAGTCACTTGACATGAGAGAAAAATCCAAGCAGCATTCTACTATACTCCGATTATGTGCACCTTCTAATGGATAGTGGTAGAATTACACTAGCAGAAACCTTGAGTTATCTCTAGTGGGGTCTGGTTGGGCTACCTGAGACCAAATCAAACTAGGGAACAGGTGACATTAACTTCAGTGAGCACTTGCCTGGAGGAACAGGTAATCAATGTTGCAATTTGTGGTATTCAGACTTTAAATAAAACTCCTACTGGACATTGGTAGTGTCCTACCTCATAGAGTCATAGGGTTTTACAGCATTGAAATAGACCCTTCGGTCTAACTCGTCCATGCTGACCAGATATCCTGCATTAATCTAGTCCCATTTGCCAATATTTGGCCCATATCCCTGTAAACCCTTCCTATTCATGTACCCATCCAGATGCTTTTTAAATGCTGTAATTGTACCAGCTCTCACCACTTCCTCTGGCAGCTCATTCCATACACGCACCATCCTCTGTGTGAAAAAGTTGCCCCAGATCCCTTTTAAATCTTTTCCCTCTCACCTTAAACCTATGCCCTGTAGTTTTGGACTCCCCCACCCTAGGGAACAGACCTTCAGATGCTGTTCAGCCTATCCTTGCCCCTCATTATTTTATAAACTTCTAGAAGGCCATCCTTCAGCCTCTGACATTCCAGGGAAAATAGACCCAGCCTATTCAGCATCTCCCTATAGCTCAAACCCTGCAAACCTGACAACATCGTTGTAAATCTTTTCTGAACCCTTTCAAGTTTCACAACATCCTTCCTATAGCAGGGACACCAGACTTGAATGTAGTAGTCTGAAAGTGGCCTAACCAATGTCCTGTACAACTTCAACATGACCTCCCCACTTTATTGGCACTGACCAATAAGGGCAAGCGTAGCAGCTGCCTGCACTATCCTGTCTACCTGCGACTCTACTTTCAAGGAACTATGAAGCTGCACTCCAACGTGTCTTTGTTCAGCAGTAATCTCCAGGACCTTACTATTAAGTGTATCAGTCCTGCCCTGATTTGCCTTTCCAGAATGTAGCACCTCACATTTATCTAAATTAAACTCCATCTGCCAATCCTCAGCCCATCGGCCCATCTGATCAAGGTCCCGTTGTACTCTGAGGTAACCTTGGCTACCTGCACAAGAGATGTGTCGTAATATACCTGAACAGGTTGATTAGAAATATCCAACATTACATGGGCTCTTGGCACAGTGGTAGTGACCCTACTTCTGAGCTTGGATGCCCAGATTCAAATCCCACCTGCCAAAGAGGTGTGTCATGACATTGCTGAACAGCTTGCAGGAAAATCTTTGACTGCACTGTGTCCAACCAGCATTTTATCCTTTGCTATTTAATATTATGAGAAGATGACGGCCTGGTGCTATGATCTCTGTATTAATACGGAGACCCAGGTGATGTTCTGGGGACCTGGATTTGAATCTGGCCATGGTGGAATTTGAATTGAATTCAATGAAAAGTCTTGAATTAAGAGAGGCAGTTCAGGATGGATAATAAATGCTGGCCTAGGCAATGAACAAATTATATTTTAAAAAATCAGGAAGCATTTTCCCACATAATGTGTATAGGAAATATGGGGCTCATCTCTACAGGATAAATGTTGGATAGAGGACAGAGCCAGGTGAAACTTTCTCAGTTGAGAATGGTAAATTTGTGCTGGGTGATTGTTGGCCAAAGCAGGTAAAATCTAACCATGCTCTAGTTGAAGAGTGGAATGAGCTCAAGGATGGGATAGTTATTTCTTATTCTCTAAACAGCCTGGCTTTTGGTAGAAGGGGGTGACTTAGAACCACTTTTGGTCCTATTCACACCTAGTCTTCAGGACCAAAGGAACTTGGGAGCTTGATTTTCATCCAAAAGGTCAGAACATTGAGTTCAGGGCCCTCCTTTCTCTTGAAATTATTGCCTCAGTGATGGCAAAGACACACGAGATCCGAAGAAATAGGAGCAGGATAAGGCCATTCTGCCCTTTGACCCTGCTTTGCCACTCACTGTGATCACAATCTTTGGCTTCTACTGCACTTTCCCAGCTGCTCCCCATATCCCTCTAATTCTCTGAGAGACCAAGAATCTGTCTATCCCAACCTCAAACATAGTCAATGACAGAGCACCCACAAACATCTGGGACAGAGAATTCCAACATTTCCCCCTGAGAATGAAGTCATTTCTCCTTATCTCAGATCATAGAATCCCTACAGTGTGGAAACAGGCCATTTGGCCCAACAAGTCCATATTGATCCTCCAAAGGGCATCCCACACAGACACCTCCCCCTACCCCTATCCCTGTAACCCTGCATTTTCCATGGCTAATGCACCAAATCTACACATCCCTGAACACGATGAGTAATTTAGCATGGCCAGTCCACCTAACCTGCACATCTTTGGACTGTGGGAGAAAACTGAAGGACCTGGTGGAAACCCACGCAGGGGGATCATGCAAATTCCATACAGACAGTTTTCCAAGGGTGGAATCGAACCCAGGTCCCTGGCACAGTGGGGCAGCAGTGCTGACCACTGAGCCACCCACAGTTCTGAGATATTGGACATTGGTCCCATTTAAGGGGAAGACTGACTGACCTGATTAATGTCCCATGATGCACATTAGAACATCGGGGACTCAGGAGCAGGACTACGCCCCATCCAATCCATCACCTCTGTGCTGCATTCAAACAACACCAGGTCTAATCTGGTTGTGGTCTCAGTTCCACTTCCCTTTCTGTCCCCATTACCCTGGACTCCCTTGTCTATCATAAAATCCATCCACTTCAGTCCTGAATATATTCAATGGCCCAACCTCAACTGTTTTCTGGGGAAGTGAGTTTAACAGACTAATGAGTCTCTCAGAGGAAAAAAAAACTATAATTTCCAATTCAGCAGTGAGACCTCTTACCCTCAGACTGTGTCACCTACTTCTAGTTCCTCTCACAAGGGGAAACATCCATTTGTCTTCATTCACGGGATGAGGGCGTCACTGGCTAGGCCAGCATTTATTGCCGATCCCTAATTGCCCAGAGGGCAGTTGAGAGTCAACCACATTGTTGTGGGTCTGGAGTCATATTTAGGCCCAGACCAGGTAGGTTTTCTTCCCTTGACAACATTAGTGAACCAGATGGGTTTTTCCCCCAACAACTGACAGTGGTTTCATGGTCTTCATTAGACTCCTAACTCCAGGTTTTTATTGAATTCAAATTCCACCATCTCCACTAGTGGGATTTGAACCCAGACGTCCGGAATATTAACTAGGTCTCCTGGATTAATAGTCTAGTGATCCTACCACTAGACCATCTACTCCAGAATCCACCCTTCAAGTTCCTCAGGTTCTCACATGTTTCACTAAGGTTCTCTCTCCTTCCTCTTAAACACCAGTGGGGACAGGCCCACCACGTGCAATCTTCCTTCATAAAATAAACCCCCTCATCCCAGGATTGAGTGGACTGAACCTTCTCTGAATTGCGACTAATTCAGTTTGTATCCCTTTTTCAAACAAGGAGACCAGAATTGTACACAAATATATTCCAGGAGAGGTCTTACCAAGGCCCTGTCCAGTTGCAATTAAAATTCCTTACTCTTACAGTCATAGAAGTTCATAGAAACCCTACAGTGTGGAAACAGGCCCTTCCGCCCAACAAGCCCACATCGATTCTCAGAGCATCCCACCCAGAACCATACCCCTAACCTACACATCCCTGAACACTATGAGCAATTTAGCATGGCCAATCCACCTAGCCTCGACATCTTTGGACTGTGGGAGGAAACTGGAGCACTCGGAGGAAACCCATGCAGACACGGGGAGAATGTGCCAACTCCACACAGACAGTCGCCTGAGGGTGGAATTGAATCTAGTTCCCTGTCGCTGTGAGGCAGCAGTGCTAACCGCTGAGTCACATGTTGCATCCAGCACAGAAACAGTCTATGCCAACTATAACCCCAAACCAAACTACTCCCACCTGCCTGCACTTGGCCCATATCCCTCTAAACATTTCTTATTCATGTACTTATTCAAATGTCTTTTAAACATAGTAACTATACCCACATCCATCACTTCCTCAGGAAGTTCATTCCACATATGAACCAGTCTGTGTAAAAAGGTTGCCCCTCATGTCTTTTATAAATCTTTCTCCTCTCATCTCAAAAATGTGCCCCCAGTCTTGAAATCCCCCACTGTAGGGAAAAGACAACTGCCATTCACCTTATCTATACCCCTCATGATTTTATAAACCTCTATAAGTTCAATCCTCAACCTCCTACACTCCTGTAAAAAAAACTCCCAGCCTATCCAGCCTCTTACTATAACTCAAATGCTCTATTCCCGGCAATATTCTGATAGATCTTTTCTGAACCATCTCCAGCTTAATAATATTCTTCCTGTAACAGGACAACCGGAACTGGACACAGCACTCCAGAAGAGGCCTCACTAACGTCCTGTACAACCTTAGGTTCCAGTTTGCTTACAATAAATGCCATTTGTCTTCCCAATCAATAACTTAATCTGAAAGCTAACTTTTGTGATTCATGTACCAAATCTCTTTACATCATGGAGGTCTGTAATGTCCATCCATCCGAGTCAAAAGGAGTTGGGGCTTTTGTGGCAAGGTGGTAATGTCCCTACCTCTGAGGTAGGAGGCTTAGGTTCAAGTCCTACCTGCTCCAATTTCATCTCCGAGCAGGTTGATTAGAAAATATCTACTGCTTATCCACAGCAAGCTCACATGTCCACCCATTCTTCTCCATCTGCCTATTTCTTTGCCTGCTAACTCACCCTCTCACACTCATATATCACAAGTCTGTTTACAGGATGCCATCTCCGACCCTCCGTGTTCTTTTTTGCTGAAGGAAGTTATGAAGATGGCGGTGAAAGCGGAGACAAAGTATTCATTTGATCTTTTGTTTCTAATCCAGGGAGAGAAAGGAACTCCAGGACCTCCCGGACCTCCCGGAAAACTGGTAAATAATCAAGTTTCGAAAAGGAGTAAATCTAGCTGTTAACCTCATTTTATTAAATTTGTGATGTAATGTTTATCACTGTGTTTGCCGTGACTTAATGATTAAAAAAAAGAACATCTTGTGATTATTTGGTATGTTTTCACAAATACAGGATGTCCTGAAGTATTTTACTGTCAGTGAAATATCTTAGAAGCCGTTGTGACTGTTGCCATGTAAGAAGTTCAGTCTGTGGACTGTAAGTCCCCACTGTGATAATGGCCAGGTGTGGTTCTTTCCTACCTTGTCAGTATATCGGGAATAAGTCCCCTACTCAGTGTACACAGACAAAGAATCCCTACAGGGTGGAAGCAGACCATTTGGCCCATCGAGCCCACATTACACTGAGACTCACCTATCCCTGTAACCCTGCATTTCCGATGGCTAACTGACCTAACCTGCACACTACGGGCAATTTGGCATGGCCAATCTGCCCTAACCTGCACATCTTTGGACTGTAGGAGGAAATCCAAGCAGACATGGGGAGAATGTGCAAACTCCACACAGACAGTCACCTGAGGGTGGAATTGAACCCAGGTTCCTAGTGCTGTAAGGCAGCAGTGCTAACCACTGAGCCACTGTGCTGCCCCTCAACTTCACAATAGTGCTGTTGGAACTTTTAAACCCACTTCCCAGAGCAGACCATGCCTCAGTTTAAGATCTCACCTGAAAGACAGTGTTTTCCAACAGAGCAGCACTCCCTCAATGTTGCACTGGAGCATTTGCCTCAGGTTTTCTGCTTAAATCTCTCGAGTGGAACTCACATGGCACTAAGATGTTAGTTATTGTATGATGTAGGCACGGACAAGAATGGAACTGTAACAAGTGAGCATCAGAGATTGTCCACGTGAGAAACTGGTCAATTTAGAATCACTTCAATACTGTGCTTCTAATTCTCATTTGGCAGAATGGAGTGGACTAATATTGAATCTCAATGAGCAACTAAATCACACAAAACTGTACCATCACCAGCCATTTGTTCACCTTGCTCCATTAGATTGTCAGATTTATGGCTGTGCTCAGAGAGAGAAATTAAAGAGCTGATCAATCCATAACAACAACAACATGTATTTATGTAGCCCCTTTCATGAAGGAAACTGTCCCCAGGTGTTTCACTAGAGTGATTTTATCAAGTGACATGTGCCAATAAGCCACACGAGGATATATTCAGGCTGGGACTTTATCCCAGGACCTGGTTGGAATCACTGAGGGTGAGTTTGAACATTTTTCCAATATCCTGCTTATTGTTTTCCCTGCCCCTGGACCCTTTTTCGGGAGATGTGGTGGTGGAGGGAATATGCAGTGCTCCGAAAGCTTGTGATCTTAAGTAAACCTGTTGGAATTCTGGCTTTGTAGCGCAGATCTTGAATATTGCCGACAAACAGACATGTTTCTGAGATTTGTTGTCTTGTGCCATCAGGATTCACAGAGGAAATCCAACCCTCAAACAATCACTAACTCCCAGGATGTTAAGCTCTCAGGATATCAGAAAAAGGCATAAGGCATGAACGTGTTCCTTGAGCTTGTAGATAATCGATCTCTGAGTTTGAATGGATTCATTTATAGTAGGTGTAAATAGGCCACACGTGACCTCAACTTAAATTGCTTTTTAATGTAACTGTTGTTGTACTTGGGATCATTCAGTAAGTGCTACCCAAATGCAGAACTACATTGACCAGTAGATTTCTGAAGAAGGGTCTAGGCCCGAAATGTCAGCTTTCCTGCTCTTCTGCTGCTGCTTGGCCTGCTGTGTTCATCCAGCTCTACACCTTGTTATCGCAGATTCTCCAGCATCTGTAGTTCCTACTATCTCTACCCTTGACCAGTAGATGGTTTGTTTTAGGTTTTGCAAGTGGGGGCTGATGGACACAGCATGATCTTGTTGGAATTAGATGATAGGCACCAGATTTATGGAGAAGAACACAGCATTTGAAACGAAGAAAGCCATTTAAAAAAAGACCATCAGAAAACAGCAAGAGCCTGAAACCCATAGCAAAGCATTCAGCAGCTGAAAGAGAGAATTCCATACCGAATCTTCGGTAGGAAACCAGGAACAAACAAATCGTCGCCTTTAGCCAGAACGTGATTCTGAGCTGCCATCGTTAATCGTTACAGCTCAGAGGAGCCATTACAAACACCAGGCACGGCAACAAGTAAGAATGGCAGATGCCAGGAGAGGTGACACCACTGTTTCCATTTCAGTCTTGGTCATTGAGTAAGTGTCATGACACCACATTATAGTCTAACAGGTGGCTCAGTGGTTAGCACTGCTGCCTCACAGCGCTAGGGACCCAGGTTCGATCCCACCTTCGGCTACCTGTCTGTGTGGAGTTTGCACATTCTCCCCGTGTCTGCGTGGGTTTCCTCCCACAGTCCAAAGACGTGCAGGCTAGGTGGATTGGCCATGCTAAATTGCCCGTAGTGTTCAGGAATGTGTAAATGGGTTACAAGGAAAGGGTAACGGGTCTGGGTGGGATGCTCTGAGGGTCGGTGTGGACTTGTTGGGCTCAAGGGCCTGTTTCCACACTCCAGTGATTCTATGAGTGTAAAGGTTTATTTGAAATCACAAACTTTCAGAGCACTGCTCCTTCATCAGGTGAAGTGGGGGGAAGTGCGCAGGCACAGAATTTATAGGTGGAGAGATCATTACAAGATAATTCCAGGTAACAAAGAGTGTCAAAAGTTAGTACAAACAGTGTGAGTGGAGTATGGACAGGCTGAATAATAAGTTTCTGCAGGTGACCAAAAGCATCAGACGATGTGAGTAAAGTGCCAACAGTTGAGTAGCAAGTGAAGGGATGACCTATAATCCAATTAATTGAGACAGAGAGATAATTAAAAAAATCAAAAATATGATGGTGCTAGAGACAAACCAAATGGCCGGAATAACATGATAGATAAAAGAGTCGCATTCTGAGGGTCTAACAAAAGTAATAGGTAATCCAAAACAGTACCAACTAATTAAGGTAAAGAGATAATAACAAGTTATCACGGTGACGGTGCCAAAACAGAGCACTAAGGAAGATTCTACAAATACGGAACAGTATGGTGGGCTTACATATGGCGTGACGTGAACCGAAGACCACAATTAAGGCCGTCCTGGTGTCGTGTGGCTTCTGATTTTGTCCTCCTCAGTCCAACCACATACTTGAGGAAGTGACTAAACTTCACAGGCCCCTGGCCAGGAGTCTGATTGTGGGAGTCTAAATCTTCACCTCTTCTTTTGCAGATCAATTTGGAAGACAGAATACCAGGAGTTAAAGGAGAAAAGGTACCAAATTTTACTTTCACTGAACCTTGTGCATGAGTTAGCTTTCCCATGCATCATATTCCTATGATTAGACAACTATAATATAATCTAAGACAACAAGGAGCAAGGCTGGATGAACACAGCAGGCCAAGCAGCATCATAGGAGCAGAAAGGCTGACGTTCATCAGAATCTGATGAAGGG